TAGGGGTTTAAACATACAGAGGACAGACGGTTAAGCAACTCAGTCATTATGTTCCTCCTAATCCAGCACCAACAGAAGTACATGTGCACCACCCAGTGTTGAAGAGAAGAAGCCCATGTTACTGAAGAAATAAGAGCCTCAGACACTCAGTATAGGATTTGGATCCATGAACCGTGTGAGGGTAATTAGGGACAGATACTAGAGTCTTCTGAGAATTAGCAGCTTTTAAAGGAATAGTTTGGATTGTTTTGTAGTGGGGTTGTATGAGGTACTTATCCATGGTCGGTGTATTGGCATGCCACCAGTTTGAAGAAACAGATAGGCGTACATAAAGGAAATCCAAGCCATGTTGTGTTGTTTACATGGGTTGCACCAAAACGTCATCTAGTAACCTTAAAATCCTCAGTACCAGTATAATTTTGCACTATATTTGAAATAGTTTCAACTGCTTTAATGTGCTATCGTCAGCCTTCTCCAACGAGGAACTGAAACACTGAATATAGGCTTCAAAGCAACCAGACTCCATCGAGAAAACAGTAATTTTACTGTGTAGAACACAGGAGATGGTGGTCTAAGGCTGCCTTCAATAGTTACATGTGTCCGTTTGTGTCATATTTTGTGTTTTAAAGCAATGGTTCACATTTGTTTCCTTCTAACTACCTATTTTTTATCAACGAGTTAACTGATGACCTCTGTTTAAGGCCCAATCCCAAACCACGCCCTACACCCTACCCCTACACACTACCCCTCCGTTTGCGCGTTCGCGCGGAGGGTCCGCCACATTAAGTGCTGTTCCAAACCAACGAGTGTGGAGAGGTGTGGAGGGGGAGTGGGCTATCAAGCCCTCAAACAGCGAGTCTGCATCGGTGCTGACTTGAGACCGGTCTCTACCTGACCGGAGTCACGCTGTGTGTGTCCGTCAGGAAACACGCTGTTTACAAACAGTTCCAGCAAACATCCACTGATAAATTGCGATGTTAACAACCTCATGATAACCTCATATTTTCTTTAACTTAGGATCATACCTGTGTTTAGTCTAGAAAAAGGTAAATGTGTGCATTTTATTATAAAGTTGTGTATATTTACAGACTGTTGCAAAAACTAAGAAGCTTATAAACATCAGGTTTAAAACTAAAAGAGCTTTACAAAAAAGTAACACAATGAAAGATGTTTGGAGTTTTATTTGAGTTCTTAATTTACATTTTTTGTCTAAGAGATGCTGATTTGAAACCGTTGTTACATACAGTTACGGCATTTCCTGTTTCTGCCGGAGAGAGGAGAGTTTGTCCCAAAGCTTGCCGCTGTGTTTACTCCCTCCATCTGACAGGAGGGAGCCTCGTTGAGCTGCGAGTGTGGCTACAGACGGAGTTCACTCCGCCACGGAGGGGTAGGGTCGAGGGAGTGGTTTGGGATTGGGCCTCAGTGACATTTAATGGATATTTCCTGGTAATATATTCAATGACAGTGACGAACAAGTCTGTGTGAAAACCTAAAAAGTGAAAGCAACAACTGCAGGACTGTAAAAACAAGCAATTTAGAAGAATTTTGAGCAGAATATTTGCTGTGAATATTGCAGGGGGAACTTTTAATAATCTCTTTGTATTTCGCTTTTTTTGTTGTTGAATTTCAAACTAATCTTAGACACATTTTCTTTCTTTTGAAAAATTCTGTGTTTTTGTTCTCCCTGGCACTTGTTCTATTGATCTAATAACTTTTCTACCCAAAACACTTTGAGTCAAAAAGCTCTTGCGACCCCTAGTGGGGGTAGAGACCCTCAAGTTGGGATCCACTGTTGTAAATGGTTCGAATTCAGCAAAGTCCCACAATATTACAAACAAACGAGACAACAGCAGACAAGAAAGTTGTGTGTTCTAAGTATAATTAGTGTTTTTTTTTTTTAATGGAGTCTGGTGTATTTAAGGCGAACATAGATAACAGCTTCTACAGAATGTGATATACAGACTATGGATAAGTACCGCATACAACCCCACTACAAAACAATCCAAACTTTTCCTTTAAAAGCTGAATATTACTCTTAGGACTGGTGGAGACCAACACATAGGATAAAAATGAGAGGGATTATTAGACTTACATTTGCCCGTTGGCCAATAAAACGACTTCATCTGAAAGGGTATATAAACAGTTTGCATACATTATGAAAACTATGTAGAATAACAATGGGTCATTTATGAGTTTAGAGTTACACGAAATGTAGCTCTGAGCACCCTTATTGTTCACTGTCAATTCAAAAAAACACCCACTGACTGGCAGTTTTAAAATGTTTATTAAAAAATAAAATAGAAAAAAATATATTTACATACAAATGTCAAAAAACCAACCAAAAAAAACCAACCACAAGCTGGGCAGTGGGTCCCTCTGTCCACCGGTAGCTTAGTGTGCATTCAGAGGGCCACTGCTCACAGGAATCAGCCAGGACAAAGAGGGGCTGCCGCTCTCTCTAAACAGCAGCCGCCAGTTTAAAATCCCTCATTGTGTTGCAACGAGGGGTCGTATATCACTGCATCTACGTGTACGTGTGCACGCTAACATCTCAACGGCCCCGGCTGTCTCTCTGATGCTTCCATTACCCGGCGTTAACACTTATCTGGAGAATCAGAGCACAAGCTAAACCGCTGAGATTTTAATCCGTACAGACTTCTTCGGATACTGCATGTCAAGTCTTTGCTGTGGAGATGCTGGCAACTAATCTGTCAACAACCGTCTTTTACCAATTGCATTGCCAGCCTCTTAATCAATGCTTGTTCTAATTTCTAAAAGCTAACATGGCTGACAGGGATGCAGTTTGAAACTACATCCTGGTTCTTATCCAATTTATTTAAGGGGTAGGATTTCATGTAACTGAGTTTCATGCACCAAAGCGATGATGGAAGCTGTTTTTTTTTGTTGTCAAATCATTGAATGAAAATGGGGTTTCTTATGGTAGGGGTTGATGATTAGCTCATCATCCGCGGTCAAATCAGAACGCCTTCATTTGAGAATTGATGCCAGGAGCAGTTTTGACTGACGGACAGAGTTGCCATGGTTTTAAAAGAGAAAAGGTCAACGTAAATATGTTAACAGCACTGTAGAATTGTTTTTGGACACTTTCTGAAGTGCACCTGCAGAGGGCCAGTCGCTCTCTGGGTGCACCTGCTCATGAACCGTCTAATTTATAAAAAATAAAAAAAACTTGGTGTTAAGTCATGAGTCTCGATACTTTCTCACACACGTTTCACTTTGTCACGCACTACACAGACCCAGACCATTGACATTAACATCCTCCATTCCTTACATTTGACTGATAGATGTAGAAAACTAGACTTTGAAACGTTTTGGGACCTTCATACAAACACAACGATGGGGGGGGGGGGGGGGGGGGGTTCACATGAGATGGCTTACGAGTCTTGACAGTCAGTAACATCAGTCCAACAAGCAGTGTTTGTCACGTTGAGGAAAAAAAGACCCAAAGGGAGAGACAAGAGTTGACACAATAATCTGAATAATCCACTTGCATAGTAATAACACCAGCGTGTGTGTCGTGTTCGGGGGCGAGTCACAGCCTTCGACAGTGTGTGTCTCACAGGAAACGACGAACACACACTCCAAGTAAACACAAAGAAAGGCATTGCAAACAATTAGCGGAAGTACCTGGCAATCAAAATATACACAAGATTCCTGAACGGAATCAAAATATAATTCCCTTTCACTGGGGTCATTGGTTCAGGATGACCCCCCCCCCCCCCCTCCTCTCCTCCATCTCCTTTGTCTGGGAGCATAGAGGGGAAACCTTATCGTGAGCATCTTAGTGTTGGTCTGCACTCTTTTACAGCTGCGGACAAGGGCTGGCCTCAGCGCTGGGATCAGTTTTCCAACAAATAGGTCCCTCGACCAGAGAGACTACGAGGATTTCTCTGTGGCCCTCTTTCGCTAATCTTAAATCAGATACGCTGTTGCTTTCTTGGTCGCAACCCTCTTACAACATGTCATAAAAAGAGACAAGCAAAAAAAGAGGACATAAGTTTAACAGGCCGAAATTCTGCAACGTATGGAAACGTTCCCTTAAAAATCCCCTCTGTTTGAGAGAAATGGCCAACCGATCCACACTTACGGAGAGATAAAAAAAACACAATCTCAAGGTGGCGCTGCTAAATCTGCTCTTATAGACCAAATCAGAATTACACCCTCTCCTGTTTTTCAGGATTTCCCATGTTGCAATTTCCCATCACTCTACTTCCCTCCAGGATGCCTTAGACCAACTGGGCTGAGGAACTAAACTTCCAGGAGGAATTCCTTGTTAACCTCGCCTATTTCCCACAAGACAGACGAAGGAAAGTGGAAGGAATATAAAGGGAAAAGCTCCGTATCCCTTTAAACAGAGAGAAGAGAAGGAGGAGGGGGTCTGAACGGGGGGGTCCATCTCAACCTGATGACACACAGCGCACACACTCACATAAACTACTATGGTACACACACACTCCAGAGATGCTGCCCCAGGAAAGGATTCGTAAACAAAATTTAAAAACTCTACAAAAATAATACAACTGTATAAAAATGCCTTTACATATAAACACACAAAATTAAATAAGCATTTACTTTAGTTCCCGAAAGAAAAATAACATTATTGCACAAATGAAAAGTTTGTTCTTAAGAGTATAAACTGTAAAAAAAAATATGTAAAAAAAGAACCAGAGGCAGCTTGGCTGCAGACGAGGTCAGGTGAACTTGGCAACGGCGTCACCACCAAGTCAGTCAAGAATTAACAAAACAATAACAGTGAGAGACCTGAAACCAAGATGAGGAAGAAATACTGAAAGGACCATAATACTGAAAACTGAAAAGCAGTCATGCAGAAATGGAAAGGTAGAGATTTTAGGAAGAAGATGCTGAGGGCTGTCGTTCTGTGTGGCGGCAGCCCGGGGTGAAACTGCTGGTCCTCGGTCCGTCCTCCTCAGAGACCGACGGGGGGTTTGCATCCAGAGAAAAGGGAGCAGAAGAGAAGGGGGGGGGGGGGGGGGGGGGGTTCTATCTGCTGAGGCTAACCGGGAGGCTCTCCCTCTTCCTGCGCCGCCACGTGTTGCGGTGATACTGTGTGTGAGAGTGAGTGTGTGTGTGTCCGCGGTTAACCAGCACGGGGTTGTTGACCAGCGGAGGGTTGTGGAAGCCCTTCACGTTGAACTTGACACCATTCTGAGGAAAGGGGGGGGGGGGGGGATTAGAGAAGAGAGAACATTTATAAATACATCTAATATATTTACTGATGTTGCACAGGCAAATAAATTACGTTAAAAAAAAAAAAAGATTAACTTCTAGACCTATTATTTCATATTAGTCATAATTTAATAAGCCAGCAAGCGGTAAGAACTAAACCAAATGAAGCTCTAATCGATCATGTCCCTATTTTTGACATTTCCCATAAAAACATTTACTGATCAATGACTATTTTTCAAATGTGTGCTATAGAGAAAGAGAGAAGATCACACAGAAAATATGAGATGGAGAGTGTGTGTGTGACAAAGTTTGCCTTGATGGTGCGTTTGAGTGTGTGTGTGTGTGTGAGACAAAGTTTGCCTTGATGGTGCGTTTGAGTGTGTGTGTGTGTGAGACAAAGTTTGCCTTGATGGTGCGTTTGAGTGTGTGTGTGTGTGTGTGTGGGTGTGTGTGTGAGACAAAGTTTGCCTTGATGGTGCGTTTGAGTGTGTGTGCGTGTGTGTGTGTGTGCGTGACAAAGTTTGCCTTGATGGTGCGTCTGTGTGTGTGAGACAAAGTTTGCCTTGATGGTATGTGTGTGTGTGTGTGTGTGTGTGTGTGTGTGTGTGTGTGTGTGTGTCAAAGTTTTCCTTGATGGTGCGTTTGAGTGCGTGTGTGTGTGTGTGTGTGTGTGTGTGTGTGTGTGTGTGTGTGTGTGTGTGTGTGTGTGTGTGTGTGTGTGTGTGACAAAGTTTGCCTTGATGGTGCGTTTGAGTGTGTGTGTTGCATCTCGCGCCTACCTTGTGTATGTGGCTGGACAGAGGCAGGGGGCAGGAGGGGGCGGGGGCATGAGCGTGGGCGTGGGGGTGCATGTGGAAGAAGGGGGGGAGCCCGGTGTCTATACACACCTGTCTGCCAGGTATGGAGTGCATTGCTAGACCCCCGGGCAGCTGGACGCGAGCCTGGGGGACGGAGGGGGAAATGATTTGTTACCGGTGGGGGGGGGGGGGGCAACAACATCGAGCAGGGTTTCTAAACCGTGTTAAATATCAAATTCAAGTACTTTCAATGCACAATTCCTTCAAATGCAAAGACCTAACAAGGCAAGATTGAGGCACTAATCAAGGTAATAACATCCTTAAGGTTAATAACAAAATATTTTCAATTCCCATTCTTATATAAAATAAGCAAATATCAATAACTTTTACTGACATACCTCTGATCATGTCTTCATGTTCAAAGACCTTTAAGCTTTAAGGGACCTTAGGAACCATGGCTAGCTATTCTTGATTCAATCTCATTTCTGGCTTTAGTTATGACTACATATTTAGGGTTGATGGAGAAGCTACGATGGTAGCTTAGCCTAGCATGATAACTCTTTATCTCCATTCAGAAACAAAGCATTTCAAAACGTTTTGCTTGCCCACATTGGATAGACTTGACAAAACAATAATTTTTATATTCTAATCTATATCATTGAGAAGATATTTTGGACACATTCATTGCAATTAAATCACAGCAACATATGTTCATTTTGGGTTCATCTCACTGAAGTCACCAAAATGGATTCACTGCTTCTGGTCTACGTTAAGTGTCACCCCTGGTGCCTGTAGCATACCTAGCATGCCTACCTGTGAGCCTGGATGCAGGAGGAGGTGGTGCCCCCCCATGCCGTGCTTCATGTTGAGGCAAGGGGGCAGAGCTAGCCCCAGAGGCGGGAAAGACGGGAAAGGTGGCATGGTGGGCGGAGGGACGGGACACGGCAGCGCTGAGTCCGAGTCCTTTCAAACGACACCAAAAAGAAGAGATAATGAGTATGTCACTCCTGCACGTCTCCGTTTAAATACCACAGTATAATTAGATCCAATGGGACGTGCTTCTGTTTGATAGGTCGGAGAGTATGAAAAAGGTTAAGCTGCATGTAGCTTCATCAGGTGGGTGGCAGTGTTTATACATTATGATGAATGTCAAGTGGTTCATCACATCAAATTGTAGTTGTGTATATCATATAGAGAGGTACAACTGGTTAGGCTTTGATGTTTCATACCATCTAGTGTTGTCTGCAGACATCATTATATATACACAGGATTTATTTTAAATTACAAATATTGTATCGTAAGGTGTGTTAAGACCAAGTGTGAATCACATTTTTCAGAAGGAGCACAGAAAGTCAATGCAAAGACGCAAAAACTCCCAAAAACATTTTTAAAAAAAACTATCATTTGAGTGCTTCTACAGTTTGTGTGTTCTTACGTTGTCTGATCCCGACAGTGAGGAGACGGAGGAGGCCGAGGAGTGCTGCTGGGGGCTGGAGATGGACATGGGGGAGTCTGCGCTGTGGGGAGACCCCGAGTCCCTCTGCTGCTCCTCCAGCCCGACCCCCCCACTGGGCTCTGGCTCCTTGGGAGGGGAAACTGCAAAGAACAAAGACATTTGACTAACTATACATTAAATGTATGAACGTTTTAAAATACATTTCTTCTTAAAACTAAATAAAAAGATTAGATTTTAACAAAAAAACATTTATAGGCATAACATTATTTACTCTGTGCTCCCCCTACAGTCTTAATGACGTACAGCACTTTTCCTTCATTTTGATAAAACTGCATATTCAAGTCTGAGGGATCGTACCTCTGTTGTCTGTTCGCACCAGATCCCTGCCCCCCCACTTCTTAATGATCCATTCCCTGTAGTCGATCACTTCCTGGGTCAACCTGATGATCCTCCCCATGGTGCTGCAGGACGGAGAAACAGATGGGTTTTAAAAGAGCACAACTTTTATCCAGGGTATCTTTTTTTAAACTGTTGAATGGATTGAGTAGAAACCTTTCAGAGTCTTTGTTGGGATAGGAGCGAGCGAGCGGGGACACGGCGTGACTCAGGACGATGTAGGCGTAGTCGAACACCTGCTTGACGTGCATGGCACCATAGGAGCCCCTCCCCACATCATTACCTGCATGGAGCAAAGACATACACAACAACACAATAGTTAATACTTATGGGGAAAGATGGCTAAGTAAGCTGTGTGCCACTCAAGCTTTAATGTAACTTATTCTAAACTCCACGCTTGCTGTTAGACTCACTCAAAATCATTAGTTTGGTTTATGTAGTGCTGTATTGAACTCAGGGGTCAACTTCTAAAATGTGCCAAACTGTGTGAACCATTGACATTAAAGCCATTATGCAGATTTGTTAAAAAAGTTAGCATCTTTCAAATTATGTAATGGCATAGGGTTGTTTATGTACAAATCTCTAACATCCAGGTGCTGTCTATGTGTTTCTTTTAGCTAAATTACTCTGTGTGCTATCTTTTTAAACTACCACCAGATGTCCCCAAAATGAGGAATTTTCAAATCCTGATACATTGAATAAAATGATATGAACATGTGTGCTCATATAGGTCAAGTATTCCTCAGTACATTCGGAAGTGGCTGGTGAAAAGGGCACATTTCTACAAGCACACTGAATCTCTAGTAGGTCTATAAAGTCTATCTGTCCTCTTTAAATCAAATTTAAAAAAATGACATGGCACTGAGTGACACATAGTTTTAACACTTTGGTTGCAATAAGGGTAAACATTTGGTTTATTCTTCTTCTTTGTCCTTTTTTCACGAGTAAAGTGATTTTAATCAGTTTTGTTACAATGCAGCTATTAATAAAAGGTAATCAATACCCTTGGTAACTTTTGTATTTCAGGTAGAAGATAGATATGTCAGTACCATTTGTTATCACACACACACACACACACCTGGGAGCAGCGGGTCCTCTATGCAGAGCATGGATGGTCTGTATCCATTTGCCATGGACTTCATGATCTCCTCTTTGGCCAAGTACCCGCCCCTATTTTTGATACGAATCCCTGTTTTCAAGTAGTTGAAATGGCGGCCGTACAACTCAAAGAACTCAATCAGCAACACGCCCAAATTCTCGTTGGGGTTCCTGGCGTCGATACGTGGATGGAGCTGAAAGAAAGAGCAATGGGAGAACTGATTAGTATGGATTAAAAAAATAAAAAAATACTATGCATAAGTAATGATTACTATTGATGTTTGTCAACACTGGATATGTCTGAAGCTAAGTGCTACAACAAATTCTCCTATGAATGCTACTTTCATTAGCTAGCACATCCTGCACTGGGCTACTTTCTGCTCCTTTTACATCACATGTATTTTTCAGGGAGGCGTCTGCATCTTCCTGTACCTGTAGAAAGCTGATGACCATGAGGATGAGGCTGTAGGAGCTGATTCCCCCGGTGAAGACTTCGTTAAGATCCCTCTGCAGCAGAAACTGCTTCAGGACAAAGATCAGGTAAGGCAGCACCGGATACATCTGAGGGAGGAAGAAGAGTCAGGTATGAGAACGCTTTATCTGTCAACTTCTGGATTAGGTAACGAAAGAGAAGATGTCTGTTTGACCCCGGTTCCATTTGTAGTCAATAAGGAAGAGTGGGGGTGTCTAGTGAGTTGTGAAGAATTAAATGAGCTTGAGATAGGACAAGACCAGTGGCGGTTCTAGAACATTTTACATGGGGTGGCAGAGGGGGGGCAAGAGGTCATGCCAGGGTGGCATGGGAGGGCGGACAGTACGTGGTATTTTAAACTGTATATAAAACCTATTTATTGTTAAATCATGCCCTAACACACGTGTTCTTAATGCACAAGAGAAACAAGGTGTTCAGACAAACTAAAATATAGTATAAAACAGCAGAAAATACTCATGATACCCTAGAATTCTGTTTACTGTAAGTACAGTAAAAGTACTTAGTTATAATTAAGTACACAAATGACATCACCCATCTTTTAAGAGAGCTAAAGGTGACCTGTGCAGCAACACCTTTCAATAAATATGTGTCAATACTAAGAACTGCTAGATAGTGGAATATGTATGCAAGGAGAATACAAACATACCATGCGGTCCAGCTGGAGTCTCATCTGCCTCCTGATCCCTGCCTCTGTCCCTCTTTCTGACACTTCATCTTTATTCCTCACATACATTTCTTCTTCTTCACTAATGTCTTCATCTCCTCCTGGCTTCCTCCTGCTCTGACCCTCCTGGTCTCTTCAGTGTACTCTCTTTTCCTTTTCCTCTTTCTGTTCGTCCTGATCACTTCTCAGATATGTCTTTTTGTTGTTGTTGACTCACTCCAGCTACTCTGGCCTGCAAGAGTCTACTTGGGAAAAGCACTGGTACAAATGCTTGTATAACTTTACACGTTAGGGCCATGTAGCTAATAAGTAGCATAGCCTATAATAAATATAAAATCAGAAAGTATTTATCAAACACACACAGGCAGCTGTGTTTAGATCCAGTTTGACGGTCAAGGATGTATCCTGGTTTAATTTATCTGGCCTCGTTGCTGTGATGTGTAATTTACGTGGATTTAATAGTAGCAAATAGTGTAGCAAATAAAAGTGATCGATCTCCCAGCTAGCGCTGTCTGTGTGGTATTTTGTATCGTAACGCCCCAAACAGCAACCGCCTGTTAAACGCTATCGATTAAAAAAGCAGCGTTTTATTAATATTTTGTTTCACCCTCTCACCTTTAGTAACAACAAAACTAGTGGAAGGGGAAATGCTCGAGGGGAAGCTGATCCACCTTCAGGTGCTGGAACAGCTCTGTCTCTCTGCAGCTGTGTGAGCTGCGGTCAGTTTAATGCTGGGCCGTAGCTCCGTTTTTTTAACGGGCCTAAGATGATATTTAAAATGATTCACTTTTAATTAATGTACTGCTTGTTTCGTTGCTTGAGAAGCTTGTGGACATAGTGTAGACTTGTTTCTACAGTTTTAGATCTGCCCCTGGACAAGACTATATTCAAACTGAACAGCAAGTAATTCACATTATTGTAAAAAAGAATTACAATATACTTTACTTAGCTTCAGGGGTGGGAATATTTAGCATTTGCAGAATTAGTACTTTTACTTTTGTAGTTCTAGTATATTTTGATGCTTATAGATTTGTACTTTTATTGGTAGTTGAATATTTTTACTTGTACTCAAGTTAAGGTTCCGAGTACTAAGTTCCAATACTGACGGTACTAATTGATATACCAGCACTACCTGCAGCCTGAAGAGTGGAAATGCTGTGTTGCCTAAGGCAGCTCTATACATACAATAGTCATGTTTTCGCAATAACTGTGACTAATAATAATAATACGTATAATGCGTCATCCCTATTTGATTTTCTTTTAGTAAGCTGTAATCCTGCCAAACCAGTGAAAACCCCTGCTGAAACCACAGTTTCTGCTGAAACCACAGTGATCTCACTCTTGTTTTTAAAGTACTGCTGACTAAACCATTTTCAATTGATGTGATGTGTAAATTGCTCTACTCCACCATCAATGAATTACTCTTTCTGGCGTCCAACAGGATCAAACGTACTAAAGTAATGTGTTAAATGGGGCTTCCTAGAGCCTCTGACTTAATAACGTGCTGAACCCCCTGGAGGGCCTGGGAATGGGAAATACAAAAATTCTCCTTTTCCAATTGAAAAGTGAGCATGACCTTCTGGCAGTATGTGTGTGTGTGTCTGTTGTGTGTGTGTGTGTGTATCTGTGCCAGTGGAGCAGCAGGGCTTGGTTGACTTTTCAAATATGCTTTTAGAGAAGTGATGCTGGGAGATAGACTCCAACTGGCTGCGTGGGAATCTGACATGTGAGGATTAGCTCTGAGCTGACCTCTCAATGACAAGTCAGTCACACCCATGTATTAGCAACATCAACTTTCAGTGGGTTGAAGCTGAGAGTGGATGTCAACAGCAGGCTTTCCAGCTCAGACATGCACTCCCAGAGGAGCATAATACATAAAGAAACAACAACAACAAAAGGGGGAGAAGAGCCAAAAGCTGGCTGAAACGTCAGCTCCTGGAATTCCTCTCGTGCATTAGCTACTATAACCGTGACTGAAGTGAGCAGAGATCCACCTTCAGCAGGAATTTAGTCAGAGCCATGGGGAGGAATTCACCTCCGCCGAGTTGATTTGGCAGCGAGGTTTTTCAGCAGCAAAACAGACTCAGTTTGAGTTGAGTGGAGATTATTCTGAGCACGGTTGCTGGGGTCCGCTCCAGCTTCACTTTGGAAATGAGATGTGCCAACGCGAGATTGAAGTGTAATGCTTTAAAGTGCTCTCTGATTCGCAGGGAACTTCTACAGTTCTGTATTTAGACCCCGCTGTAAAAATAGTAATTATGTGACTCGTCTGGTGGTCTTTATTTAAATATGTCTACATGACCTTTTTCAGTTCTCTTCTTACATATCTATTTGTTGCTTGCAATGTGGATTTCCTGTAGTCAATGAAGACTTCAATTCCCTATCTGGTTTAAAAATGCAATGGATTTCTGTGCGTCATTTGATGCCTTCTGGTCTGATTTGATTAATATAAATTATTTAATATAGTTTGCTATCTGTGTACTTTTTAAAATTGTTATATATGCACCATGACATCAAGTCAAATTCCTCGTTCTGATTATTAAATTAAATATCACTACGATAACACATGCACCTGTGAGCTGCACATCCTGACAGGTGATAAATGTATTTCTCACCTTAACATAATCTTTAATGAAGCTCGCCGCCTTGACACCAGTCTCCACATTGAAGCTGATGTCCACCTTCACCTCCGTCTCCTGGTCTGTCAGCTTGATGATTGGCACCTGAAGGCAGAAACGGTGACATGCATTAGCAAACAGTCTCTGTGTGATGAGGCAAAAAAGGGAACATGTTCCAACAGACAGCCTTGAGGACGCAAATGCTAATCCAAAAATGTAAAATTCAGCCATTAGCTACTTATTATCACGTCAGTACAGACAGCATTGAAGCAAGCCGTGGTTAGCTTGGTTATGTGCACACGCCACATGATGATGGTGCATGTAACAGAGCTACCACACCATTGGGGGGTTGAGTGGGTGTCCACAATATACGCGACATATTATATGCATTTTTAGCAGAAATACTTGGGTTTAACTTTAAATAGAAAAAACCCCTTCAAATAACAGGCAGTTAACGGTGTAGCATTGTGTGTTGAACTAGTATGCGGTGCTATTGTAATATTATGGTGTACAGTTTTTAAGATTTAAACACTTTTCAAGCTATGTTAACCTTAAAAGGTGTCAAAGTCTTAAAGCCATTATCATCACATCTTGAGTGTGGCTTTGAAAGCTTCTTATTTTTTTTTTAACAGAACTCGTGTCTTCTCATGTCACTTTGTGTATTCATCAGCTGTTGACCCAAAATAATTTATTATTGAAAGTTTTGATCATGATTATTTAATGCTTAGCTAGCTGTAGTCAGATAGGGAGACACCGGGATACAACAAATAAATGACGAACAGGGCCGTTTCATTTGAAATATTTTAAGGATTTTTGGTTTACATGAGTGATTGTGTAGATGGAACACCATACTATGTTAGAAATCTAGCATTTGTCAAGGAATATAATCAAATCCAAGCATTTTCTGTATGTTAAAAACATGACGGTTAAAATCTATAATGTTGTACAAACCCTGTGAACTGTGTATTTAAATTTGAACAAGGGGAAATGACCACTCCACTGGCCGAGTGCCACTTATCACGCAAACAGATGGAAAACTCTAATTATTGTCCATTTTTCCAGGGATATAAAATAGTAATTGAGCCAAAGCTTTAGACACCCAACTGACCGTTTGAAGTCCAGAGGAACTTTTCTAGGGATGTAATAACTTCTGCCAAATTAAGCTTTGGCTGGGTTTGTTACAACTGGTCCCGCATTTAGTGTGACTGTAACATTCTATTATTCACTTGGAAGAATAAAACCAAGATATGTGCCAGATCAACTAATCACTGCATCACTGAAAATGGGATATTTAATCGTTATTTTATCAAATACGCTCGTGTTTGATGGATATCTGATATGGCAAACAAGTGCGGTTTTATTTAGGGACTCAATATGAAGACAGTAAAGTGCTCTGGTTAATCACCGTAGCTTTGTCCAGCACTTTAATGGAGAAAGGTTCCGCCACATTATGTTTGCGAAGGGCTTGTTCCAGGTCTTGAAGCGGGGGTCGATCCCACTTCCCAAACACCACCAGGTCAATGTCACTGAGGGCAAAACCAGTCCGAATGTTAAATTACTGAACACAACATTCTATGTTTTTTAAAATAACATATCATGAGGGTCTTACCTGGTTGGAAGGTACAGCCCTGTGCTGAAGCTGCCAAATATTTGGACCTGGAAAAAAACAATGTTGAAGAAATATTACAAAACAATTACCAAACTGAGGAGTAGTTGAAGAAAAGAGAGAAATACAAATAAAAACGCACTGGCATTCCATAGCCCTTCTTATCACATTCTAAATATAATGAGTTTGGCTTCATTTTGAAAGTACAGATACTGTATCGTGCAATAGCTCATTTGTCAAGATGATTTATTAATCTATCTCAAACTATCAGGAACTAGGTATTTCCACATTCCACTTTAGAGACAGTAAACGCTAACAAGTGAAGTAAACAACAGCTAGGGAAAAAATGCAGTATGTGGAGGCTGCCTGCGAAAGCTCTCCAAAAGGAAGCAGAGTTCTTTCCCTTTCCATCTGGTAAATACGACAAGGCAATGGCACAAAGACAGGCCAGGATTAATAGGCTGAGATGAAAAGGGAGGCTGGTACAAATCAGGGTCTTGATCCATTTACCTGACAGTCAGGCTCACAGAGGAAGAGGGGACGACTGGCAGCCAACCAATCAGCACTGCGCATGTTTCACATGATGAGGTAATGAAGGGGGCATTACGTTAACACTACGTCTCTGCACTACACAAACTACTGCAGGACCCTCCATCACCAACTCTGAACATGCAACGTGAGACAAACTGACTTATAATTACTTTTGATGAAATTACTTGTATTATTTGTTACTCTGTCCTTGTTATTTTGCAGTTGAAAATTGCAGTTGGCATAAATATCTCTGCATTAACTAGTTAACTGTGCAATATCACATATTATATATTACAGTGTATATTATCATATATTATCATGAAAAACAGACTTTTTCCTTTCTTTTGCATATACATTTTGGTATCTGGAGTGACAGACAGCCCATAAATTGTGAAATAAGATAACCTAGTCAGTTTTTTGGGCTGCCTTGCTCAGAGAACATGGGATTTTACAAGTCATTCAGATTTTACGCCTGCTCCATTGTCATTAGAAAAATACTGTATTTCAATGATCACCTCCACATATTGCTTCAAAAACTACCCCTATCACTCTGAGAAACAAAGCAAAATAAGCATATCTCCCCAAGTGTCAAACTGCTCCTTTAAGTTTAATAGAATACAAAGCAGGAATAGGAGAGTAAAGTGTCTCACGACAATTCTAACTAAAATTCATTTCTGCAAGCACTGAAAGAATTGAAAACAAGGAATACGTTGGTGTTATCTTGAACAGACACTCAACTTTAAAAGAGTGTTAAAACACACACTCTCAACCAAGAGTTAGAAGCAATCTGAGATCACAGTTAGTGTGTGTGCCAATAATTCTCCCCTTAGAGTGGGCTGCATGATTTAAGAGACTGCTCTCTAAGATATAAAACATTTGAAAGGGGGGAAATTGATCCTGATAAACGGACCGAGTGTTTGTGTGTGTGTGTGTGTGTGTGTGTGTGCATCTTACATTTGCAGTGGGCCACAGCTCCTTGATGACCATCTCTATCCGGTTCACCACCTCCTTCCTCATAGCTGCTTCCTCTGGGCGAGGAGACATGAAGTTGTAGAAGTCAATCACCTCCTCGTGGAGTCTGGAAAGAAAGGAGGATAAAAGATAAGTTATTCCCAACAGTAATGCTACGCTATGCTACATACACTAGTATACTAAGGAGTCTTGCTCAGGAGTATTTCATATTGTAAATGCTTGAACAGCTACACATTTACTTTATTATTACACCATATCTGGCTAATATTCTAAATAAAAATAAAACTCTTTCCAGGTGGCCCAAGATAAGTTCCCTTGTTATCACTGTGCTGGTTAACCCGCATGATGCCAGCGCCAGGGAAGCAAAGCAACAGATTTTTGCCCTGAATGTTATTTCAGAATCACAACTGTGTGAAACCATGAGCTGTTTTTTCATTCAAGTCAAAATAGTTTCCGAAGAAACACAAGCAAGTTCTTGTATTTCTAAAGGTGGTGTATATTTTGAAACAAAGCCTATCTTTTCAATGTAGAAACGTGTCCCATCAAGTACAGAAACTGTAACCACTAATCCACAAATAAGGCAGAACATAAATGGTCATGGTAAAGGGAGAATCAAACAATCTTATCTCACCATCAGTGTCATCAAGAAAGAGGTATAACACACCTTTAAGGTTTTCAGAGGACATGGAAGAGGGTTTGGTAAAACAATGAGGGCCATGTCAGCCTTAGCATGCCGGAGGTCCCAAGCCTTATCGTGGTTGCTGATATTGTTTTGTGGGGGGTGCATATAATGTAAAGATTTCCAACCAGTCAAATGCCTCCGAACAGTGGAACTCTGTTCAACCCCGGGGCCATTCATTTTTTTTCTAGGAATGCATGCCATGATGTCAGTGTGAAATACAGAACAGGGAGACAGAACAGGGAGACTGTCACAATCAATTACCAGCGCCTGAAGGAAATGCAGTCCGCCCATGTGCCCACTCTTTGGGGAAACTCTCTGCCAGCAGGCCAGGGCGTATCCATGCCAATAGTCCAGTGATGACAGAGGGCTTGCTGGTTGTTGGGCCCCCCACAGTCAAAAATAAACTGCTGCTATAGCTAGCCCTTACAAACTAGTGTGTCATCTCCTCTCCTTAACTTGAGGGTCCAGTGTTAAAGAATGAATTACATAAAACAGTTTTTCTATTAACCTAATCCTGGATCATTGCAATATCATACAACATAACTACACTTTAATTTAAATGTGCAATTTTAAGAGCAAATGCCTCTATAGGAATTCTAAGGGTACCCCTGAGGGAAACTACTTTAAGTGCACAAGCCAACACTTGCATCAGAAAAAGACTTGCACAAATACAAACAACCAAAGAAAAGGACATATGTTATCCTCTAATAGCAGGACAATAGCATTAATAACTTTAATGTTGTTCAGTGTCTTTAGGATTTAGGATTATTAGGATACTAAGCATCAAGCAGTGGACGTGCTTTCATGACAGACACCGATTCCATGTACAGAAAATTCCCAGAAGGGTGCAACCAGCCATTACAAATATCACAAGGTCATGCAACACATGTGGAAGTTCCTTGGTCATCAGTTTTGGGTGAAGGTTTTTACAAGAGCAAAAATAATCACCCTTATAACATTAAACTAAGACAATCCTTTAATTTAATTATAAAACTCTTACTACATTAACAATGAGGGTCTTATGCATGTATATTACACCTACTGATCCATTATAAATACCACAATGGAAAAAGTTAAATACAGCTTTAGATATACAATCCAGGTAAAACCTATACTGGAGTTAATGTACTTAAACTATGTACCAATACATTTGTATTGCATTGCATTCATTTTCCCTTCCTTTAGCGAAAGTATATTTACTTTAGGTCCTATTCTGTCTGATCATTAATTTATGTATTTATTTGAACAAGGAACATGCATACAAATACATTAATCTCAGAAAATAGAAGAGATTATTTATGCCAGATTTTAGCTCATAGTTTATTTCCATCTGCAGTATGTGTTATTTAAGTGTTGTTAAGTGAAAGCTACATGAAAAATAACATGGAATAAGTGAGTTAAATATGACTGCAACTTTTATGTTTAAGATCTAAATAACTAAACTTACTGAAAAACGGTTTTACTTTACTAAAGTATAACAAAATGGAGTGGAAAAGGCTGGAATATACAATAAACCAGATCATCCTTTAAAGAAAGTTGTTTTCTATACTCCCAAAGCAAGCTAATGTATTTATTTTACTAAATAAAGCAATCAATTAGAAACGGTACAGGCACATTGGAGACTGCCTGGGATGAATGAACTGCTCATTTTACCTCACCCCACATTACACAAGTTGAGGGTTATTCAACCCCTTTAGCTAACACCTGGGCTGGTTGTAGTATTTTATAACAACACAAGTTTGAACGGTTCTTTCTGGAAAGTTAGTTACATTTGTGCTTAAATTGCTAGCCGTTTAAGTAACTGAGTACATTTACTCAAATAGTGTAGCCTACTTGAGTATTTCATTTTATGTTACTTTGTACTTCACCCAACATTACACAAGTTTAGGGTTATCCAACCCCTTTAGCTAACACCCAGGCTTGTTGTAGTATTTTAAAAATAACACCAGTTTAATTTGCTTTTTCCCTAACTTTAATGCAGAATTTATTCCATTGTACAGTATTTAATTTGACATTCTGTTTATGTTATTCTATTAACATGTATGTATGTAGACTCCTGCATTTCCCTGGTTACTTACTACATTCATTGCAACATTTAGTTGTTGGTATTTTATTTAACATGTTCTCTTCCCATGCATTAGTTTGCACATTGGTCTTGCAACATATCTAGCACTATTCTATTTATACTTTTTATAGTTTCTTCAAGCACTATTTTACATGTTATTTTTAAATTAGTTGTGTGGCTTATACTTATTTTATGTGGCATTGCTGGAGGAGCCTGTGACTTAAGATGTTCATTGCCGTGACTACACTGTTGTGCATAAGCTTTCGAATTTTAAAATAATGTTGAGACAAAAGAGATAACCGTTAGCTAACCTTAGCCACATCATGCTAACAAACCGACTGAAGAGCAACATATCCGGTTAAAACCTTCTAAATAAATCACCCTTTAGATAAAACACTTCCATAAAAAGTGTTGTTGTATTGAAAGACACTATTATAAAACTCCTCAAAAACGCTTGCGTTTTAATCACACTTCTCAGTAGTTTGTTGTTATTTTGTGATTTCTTAACGGCTAAATTCAAACTTCAAGTAGAACATCCGAGCACTTCCGGTTTTGTCGGCGTTTCTAACGGTAGCTTTTAAGCTATAAAGCTAACAGCCCAACTCCAGTTTAAACTGCAATGTCGTACAAAGCATTAACTGCGTTAGCAAATACATATCTTCATTGCGTTTTAAGAGCCATAATATTATACAAATATGTATTTAGTATTGTCAAGCAGCTTTTAACCAATTAAACCAAAAGACAAATATGTAATCTAATATGTTATTTATGTCAATAAGGTATTTCAAACTGCTGCTACAACATTTTATTTTAGCCATGGTTGTGTACTTATTTGTCTTCATTTAATTCAATTCTAATGCGTGCTTTTCTTTTTTTTAAATATCATTGCTTGTCTTTTTAACCTGCTATGTCACTTTTTATATATCCCCGCTGTGGGAATAATAAATAACAAATAAGATAATACTTGATCGATCCCAAATTGGAATTGTTTAAACACATATACATTTTCTGGAGACCTTTTTGATCTTGATGCTGTACATTTAACCCCTTTAAACCCCCGAGCAGTGATCACTTACCCCAGGACCCCAGGGCTGTACTTCCTCGTCTTCCATGGCGTCCAAGAAGTGCACGTATAATTGCCATTAGTGCAGTTTGAAAGCAAGTAATTCATCCCATAAGTGCTCGCTTTGTTGTCACTTTTCCTCCGGCCTGGATGGTGATTGTGTGTGGGGTTTTCAGGTACGGAGGGGTGAACCTGATGGCGCTTCATGCAAAGCTGCTGGAAAGCCGGGTGCTGATAGACATTATTATCCATGCCGTGGAGGAGGAGATTGGCACCCCCGACGTTTTTATTTGTATTATTAATATTGCCTGTTACATTTCCACCCATAGTCCTCTCACAGCTGGAAGGGGTGCGGAACTCCTGCAACGACGTGGTGGACGAGATTCCCCTTTTCTGGAGCAAGGTTTTCCCCTCTGGTTCAGCGGTGGAGTTGTCGTTGGACAGCCTTAAATCCAGGGAGGAAATCGCAGTGCTAGTGATGCTGTGATGGCTGCTGCTGCTCTTGCTAGATGCCACATTTTTTAAAACCCCCAACGCAGCGTATTTCACACACTGGTTGTAGTTCTGGTGCTGGGCGGAGGAGAGGGTCCGTGCTCCCTGAGAGGTCTCCCAGACGTGCATCCATAAGGCGTTCGCAGGTCCTTTCTGTTCCGGCTGAATCCAAGCTACCCTCGGATCCATTCAACTTCTTTTTCTCTGGTAACCCCCCCCCCGTTACTACCACACACAAGCCCCGTTTTAAAATCTGCTCCCCTGGTGTCCCTTGCAAATGTCGCTGCTCTGTGCCAGATAACGAAAAGAGAATTTAAGCATTAAACCGGAATGATAAACTGTCCCATTTACACACCGCTAGCTGCCGGGGGAAAAATGCTAGCCGTTTCCTACGGGAATTCAATATGGCGTATTCTCTTCAAATCCATGCGCATGCGCTGTACGGTGGGTTTCTTAAACGATGACTGCGCCCCCCACACACGCCCACTCCTTCATCTCTCTCCGGCCGGGTGATGAATTGCACATCGTACATATTTGAATTTTAATTCGATAAATATTTAATTGAAAAACAAGTAATGAAATCCAAGGTAAATCGTAAATGTGTATCAGCCCTGTGGTCCAATGGCTCTTGCAGAAGAACACTTGTACTGTCTTTTTTAATTAAATTGAAATAGCTTTATTGGCATGACCATAATGACATATAGTATTACAACTTACAAATTATAACATCTATACATCAATAATCTACTGTTATGTTGATACACACTTTTAACAAAAGCAAAAATTATATTTTTTCTTTACAAGGAAAACAAAATACTTTTTGAACATGAACTAGAAAATACATAAAAAATATATATTTGATGATAAACTGCCAATAGAATTACCAATTACATTACATTGCATTTAGCTGACGCTTTTATCCAAAGCGACTTACAATTCCTTGTAATTTGTATGTGGGCACTGTGGTCCAATTGCTCTTGCAAAAGCTCCTTTATTACTACTGTACACTATCATCCAGCATCATTTATATATGTTGAAATGTTGGCACAGATTTACATTAAAATAAGAAAATGTGAGACATTTATGTGCATCTATAGCTGTGGATTTCAGGGCCATTTTGGACTTGAGGGAATACAGTATGTCTGCCCAGATATGCCAGAAAGATAGACAGCTTGTGTCTTTGTTAAGTTAACCATTTAAATGTTTGACAAATTAGAAAAACATAACACTTAGACAAAATGCAATTAACATCAGACAGAGGAGATGTTATCATCTCAAATAGGGGCCATAATCGCAACATCTGGCACTCAAAATGCTGACACACATTCAAACAGCAGAAAACTCAACATTCAACAGGAAAATCACAGTTCTTTCACTTTCTAATCGCAAATGGAGATCAGGATCTTTTTCCTTTTTTATTGTTTGAGATGAACTCTGCAGACCGTGAATCCAAATGCTCATTTCCAAGGGGCAATGCACAGCAGGTGGTGTTGATCATCCCAGGCTCTCTATGCCTCCCAGCCCAGTAACAGCCATCTCGCAGCCCATTAAGCTCGGTGATGGAGCGGAGGCAGGCTGGATAACCAGCACCTTCTGGGATGTGTGTGCATGTAAAAGAAGAAGAGTGAGGGAGAGAGGGCCTTGCATAATGCCCGCCCCCAACTCCTGCTACTCACGTGCAGCATGTGACAGAGTCCAGGAAAAAACCCCAGAGCTAACTGTGTGCCAGCTAGGATATGTAGCTCTCTGACTGTATGCATACACACAGCTGCTCACAGCCCACTGTACGTCCATATAAATCTAAGCTCTTCTTTCTATCTCCCCCTATCTTACAGTGTGTGAACCACAGGCGCTTGAGTGACTCACCAGAGTGAATAGGTTATTCCTCTCATCTCTCATGTCACAGACTAGGCCCGAGCCAAAAGACTGTGTGCCAGTGTGTATGTGCGATTTCAAGGCTGGTTTGCCTCATTGTCAGCTTTTATGGGATTACTGCATTGGTGACGACTGGACCATGGCTGACAGATGCCTCACACACACACACACACACATATATATATATATATATATATACAGTCAGGGGCAGGGTTGGAGAACTGTATGCTCTCAGGCATAACAGTAATAGCAGATAACATTAAGAGAGCAGGCAGTAGTCAGAGACTGCATGTGGCTTGAATAATAATGAGGCCGCCGAACGTTCCAGATATTTAACCCACATTAGTGGGAAGCTGCATTTACACTGTTGAATCAACAGCTATATCACATTTCTACACATGAACATATCGCCTGTGGTGGGTCAGTAAGACTGTGGCTTTTTATACAGCATAACAAGGAAAGCATTATAATTGGCCCAGCAAATATTTGCAGAGCACAAATCCCGATCTGCACTACCAGTCGACGCGCAACCACGTACAGACAAAACAGAGGTTTAGACCTGAAAATGGCGTGCTGATGTGCGCCGCCTGTAGGCAAAAATAACACACATTCTAAAATGTTAAAGGGGCCCTATTATGATTATTTTTAGGGCTTCCCTTTCCTGTGTTGTGGTATACTGTATTTTTTTGTCCATGTAAATGGTCTCCAAAGGCTAAAATTGTAGATTTTCATCCAGAGGGAGTTTCTCTCCCACACAAGAATATATATACATTTTGTTAATGGCCAGAACAGTTTTTCTGGTCACATGGGTTATAGTGTACTTCCTTAAAAAACATTGGCTACAAAAGTTTAAGGTTATACAGAAACCTAATGATCGTAGAAAGCCAACATTTGCAAATGTATAGTCACAACTTGAATTCCCAAACCCTCCCACATCAGTCATAGAAAAAGGAACAGACACCACTGTTTGTTTCCCTGTGGAGGAAGTGTTTTTATTCAAGCAGCTATTCCTATCTGTGTGTGTATTATGAGATGTTGCATCTCTACTGCTGCTGTTGTTTTTCTTTTATGTTGCACAGGTTGTCATATGTACTGTTTATGTATGATTCTTGAAAGCCAGTCCAGCAAACTACTTTGCATATAAAAAGAAAATCCATTGGTGCTGCTGCCTGAAGATGAAGGGTATTATATTTATACGGCGGGCTACGTAAATACACTGGCTGGGTAATATAGTGATGCAATTACAAGGAGCGTGGACAAAGAGGATACACAGAGGAAATAGCCTGGAAGAGAAAGAGAGACAGAGGGGGAACATGAAGGATGTCAGTCTGCATAGCCTTCAGCGACACACAGCCTTCATTTTTCATCATACTCAGACACAGAGGTCTTTTATTTATTGATGAAGCCATGTTTAAAAATGATGACATAATATAAATGTTCAAAAACAACACATTAATTAAATGTGACATGGCCTTGGCTTGATGTAACATTTCCTCAACTGGGAAAAGGGAGAACTTATGAAAAGTGATGGGAGATTTTTAGCACTTTTTGTGAAAAGACAGGCTTCAATGGAGCCAATGTCATTTTCACTTGTAGATGGATTTGACTTGTGATGAGATAATTGCACTTAATACTAAACCTATTTTGAAAAAACACCAAACATTAGGCAGATCACATTCTTAGTATCTAAAAAAACAAGACATGATTTCAGGAAAGCCCTTACTCAGGGTAATGAGATTATGGTAAAAGTTATTTTTAAACAATAATAGAATAGGAAAGATGAAGTGTTTTTTATGTCTTATCTTTTCTCCCAGGCTCCCTCCTCTCCTTCATTCAGTTTATGCTCAATGTGCTTCTGCTTTCACACACTTAATCATTTGTTCTCTCTTTCTCAGAACACCCAGACAGGAGTGATGTGTTGAGGCGGCGCTCTCTTCTTATTCCAGGCATGGGTGAGTTATTGAGGGACATGCTTGACCTCTATTCGATTTCCCTGCAGCAGAGTAGCTGTGGACAGGACTGCTACAGTATCAGTCTTTAAAGAACGGAGATGCACTGCAGGAATTTGTAGCAACGACACCCGGAGCAAAATGAGGCAGAGACATGTGTTCGGGACTTCATTAAATCTCCTTCTTCTTCATTCAGTCAACGGATGTTAGAAAAGATGCACTGGCAACAGATGACTCTTGAGAATGGAAGGAAACTTTTAAAAGGTGGGGTAGGTACTTTTGGAGAAACCAGCTCGAGTGTGCTATAATTTGAAAATACACAGCCGTAAAAAAAATCTGCCACTTCCTTACAGAGCCCCTCCTCCAACACACACGAACGCGCACATGACCAATGAGGGCACGAGATAAGTTTGTGCACAGATGGAAGGCTGACAGGCAGGTAGGCCATCCAGTTACTTTAGCCTGGCCGGCTAAAATGATTGGTCGTGCTTTTTACAGTACTACGGCTTCCACAGATGACATTTTTAATGGATTTTTTGTCAAAGCACTTCAGATATTCATTGCATATATTCATGGAATATAACAAAAAGTGTATCTCGAGCCGGTTTCTCAAACTTACCTACCCCACCTTTAAGTGTCTGCTTTGCATTTCCGAGTTTATATTCCATCTGGGAGAATATGCAGATCAGCGGAGAGTCTTTACAGAGTTTATTGCTGGTGCAGAGAGTGATAAATCCACTGTATTACTGTTGAGGTACGCTCCATTCGCCGTCCTATTTCCTCCTGAGGAATGCTAAATGTTGCCTCTTTGGCAAACAGAGCATTTCAATTACATACAGTTCAGTGTTGCTGAGGTTACTTTGCTTTATGGGCGTTATTACCAAAGTAAGAAGCAACGGTATGATGTTTTTGTAAACCGTTTGCTTGCTTGCAACCCACATGAGGTAATTTACAAGCTTGCAGTCTGTGTTTTTTTTCAGTTTTCAGTACTGGGTCTTCAAATTTAGCTTATTTTAGAGCCTATCTAAGTTTTGTAAAATGTTGGGAATGTCCATTTTCAGGCTTTCCAGGCTTCCAGTACCCACAGTGCTTTTAGAACAGAAAGGGAATAAGTACCTTCCTACTTTTCGGGTAGTCTTCGAACTTAGCGTGGTACCATCTGTAGAGAGTGAAAGAGCAATGTTCTACTATTACTTCAGGTATTTGCTTCAACGTGTGCCTTACACTGCATGAAATCCATCTTTCTCTGTATGTGTGTGTTATTATACTTACTTGTGGTGTGACACAGCCCTGCTGGAGAGGACCACTGCGGTGGAGATGGCGAAAGCTGCACTATGGACAGAGTATCCAGCCAGAGCGAAGCCGGCCCACTCTATTATCTCTCCTAAGAAGTTGGCTCCAGACACATATTCAAACAGTCCGCCTGTGGGTGGAAGACACAGGAATGAGGACAGGTATGCATAACCTTTCATATGTTCACTGGAGGCAAAAATAACCCAAATAGTTTACTCTGGAAGAAACATAACTATGATGTATTTTTAACAACTATAAATCCATATCTGGCAGTAATAGTACTGACATTTCAAAGGCTAAAAAGGATCCGATAACGTCAGTGGAGCACAACTAGCTCCACTGACCTTATAAATAGCTTAGCCTTCACTCTTTGAATGCAGGCCATGGGTAGTGTTGCTACCATCTGTGTGAAAATCGCATTCCTGGCTGAGGGGAATCCAGACGTGCCAGTAAGTTCATTTCCAGCGCAGCTTAAACGGCTTCCTCCCTTATCGCCCTTTCCGCGTTTTTTCCTTAAGGGTTTCTTTGTTTTATTTCCCTTAAGGGTTCGGGACGGATGGTTTCAGCAGGTTCACCGCTTGAGGTGAGGGACCATGTTCTTAGTCAGGGTAGCCCTAAGGGACCCTAAAATGCTTTTTGAGTTTGTTTTTTTTCTTTCCTGTAGTGTGTTACATAGGTTTGTGTGCATGTTAATGGCCCGCAAAGGCTTTTTGCTTAACGAATCATGATAACTTATTATTTAAGCAAAAAGGAAAAATCCATTTTAATTTGCCAATAATGTAATTTTAAATAGCAGGAGTGTATATGTTATTGTTTTTTTTTCCTAACACATACTGCCCTCAAGACTATTTGTCAGAAGCAATTTGGAAATGGGCCAAATCTTGTTGAGCCACCCTTGCCTGTCACTTGTCATACAGTGGCCATACATGTTTACATAGTAAAGGTCACACACTCTATAAAATACCCACCTCTAAAATGTTCTCTCATTCAGAAATGTATGCCTAATTCTTGTTTTGTTTTAAAATGAACAGTTCTATGTTTTGGGAAATACGCTTGCTTGTTTTCTAGCCCAGTGCTAGTCTAGAAGATTTATGAAAAAACAGAGAATTGCAGCATATCTGTAAAACTTCTAACCCGTTGTTTTTTTAAGCATTAATCAAATAAGATAATATTGCCTGCTGGCTGTAGCATATATTTGCTGTACAAACATGAGTGTGGTATTAAGCAAATAAGCGGAAGATTAATTCAAAATGAATCTGGAATTATTCTGGTGCAGACATCATATAGCCTGCAGCATAATGTCCATGTTCCAGTATGGGGCTGGCTTGCTGTCTCACATGATTACTATAAACACTGCGTGGTTTGGTACATTTCTCTTTCTGTTTCAAGTAAAGTAAAACCAAACACACACAAACACTAGGATTATTGTGAGCCAGTGACACACAGCGGGAGCAGTCAAAGCAGCGAGAACCTTTTTAAACACTAATTTAAGGGTTCACAGAGGGCAAGGCAGAGAGGAGAAGATCTCTATTGACAACCAGTGATTCTGCTCAGTGTGATCCTGTATAATCATGCGACCACACTGGAAAATTAGCATCTAGTGCTGTGTACATGGACCACAGAGTTCTGTGCCATGAAGTGATTACTTCTTTCCTGGCGGTCTTGCCCCCCCCCATGGCAGTGCAGGAAAAAGGATTTCAGCTCTAAACCTCAGTCGAAGTAGCCATACAATGTCAAATGAGCCTTTAACAGTAAATGTCTTGCATTCAAAAATAGAAATACTCTAGAGAATGAAAGTCTCATTTCAGTTAAATATAAGTATTGTTAATTGTTTAAAGAGGTGGAAGACATACTTGGGTGTTTTGCTTAAGTTAGAGCATTTAAAATGTACTTATAAGTTACAATATTAACTTCAAAATAAAGTTAAAGTACCAAAACTAAAAAAAATATATATATATATATATATATATATATATATATATATATATATATATATATATTGGAATGGAGTAAAAGCACAAAGAATATCTGGCACTACAAAAAATGTATATATTTTAAAAACACAGGAGTTGCTAGTCAATCGCTGCAATTAGAGTTAGCTGTCTTTGTTTTTTTTGTGGTGTTTTAAAGGGTTATTTAGGATTGTAATAACTCACACATTAGCACAGACAAACTAAGCAATAAAAGGCACTAGTAGACCAGTAGTTCCTGTGTTTTGTCAAATGTGGGGTTTTTCAATACAGTCTGGTGGCTTTAAAGAAAGTAAGGCTAACGGCTGCAGTTCCCTGTCATAAAGGGCCATATAACAACAAGGTGAAATGGTAAACATATTACAAATATAGCACCAATAACTGATATTGAGTGGGTAAATGTTGCTGCTGTTGTTGTTGTAAATGTATGTTTTGCTGCTGCCCCTGTCCACAGTAGTTCTGTTTCTCAAAACTGGGGGATTGCTGACACACATCTACTCTTATTTATACACTGACTTTGGAAAAGTACTTCACACAACCCAACTTCAAACAATCCAAACTACTTTTTTTTGTTTTATTATTTTAGACCTCTCATCAAGTTTTTTCTCTTTGAAAGTTAAGTGTACTGTAACAGGAGTATAAGAAGAGTTGACTGTGGTGAGAGAAATCCTTCGGCCCAGTGTTTTCGTGACTAAAGCCCTTACCTGTGGGAATCTTGTAACCAGTCTCTCCGGGCTTCCTGAGGTTCCTCAGGATGTGGTCAGAGTGCATGTTCACCAGCCAGCCGACCAACCACAGAACAGACCCTGGAGACGAACCAACAAAAAGCTGCGTTAACATGACATTTTACTGTGTGAAAGCCAGTCAGACAACTCTCAGCTATTCTCCTCTCTGCTCAACCTCCACACAAACCTGGTTTGGCCTCATTTTCTCACATCTAACTCTCAGTAATGCAAAATGAGCAGACATACCAAAATGTTGAACATGTTTATAAAGATACATGTTTCCACAGTATTCATCATTAGTATTGCTGCTGCTGTGACACACAACACTCAAAATAAACGTATTTCATGACACACTGCATGAATACAGTGAAATGTTCTTTTTGAAAACACTTGGTATTCTTTCAGTAGTTCATATTAGTTCTATGCTAGGCTCAAATATATTAAAACCATTTTAAAATTCCATATCTGACCCGTGTACACATTGTACATCTATAATCTACAACAATAACTAATTACATAGATGTCTGTTCATATACCTGACGTGGGACATTATATTATTAATTATAAAACTGTAATTATTTTCTATTTGAATGTTTTTTTATTTTGTAACTTGTCTTTATCTATTGCAGATGTGGTGGTTTGAAATGTCAAACAGGGTAAGGTAAGGGGAGTGGAGGGGCGGTCACAGTTAAAAAACACAAACATTTTAAATGATAAGTTTCCTGCTTGAACAGCAAGGTAGCCAAGAAAAACTGCTGAGCACTTAAAGGTTTGGAAAAAGGGAAAAGCACCTGCGGTGAAGCAAGAAACAAAAAAAGGGGAAATTACAAGGTGGGCAAAAGTGTGTGAATGACAGCCATGGTTTTAATACTGGTAACACGGGTTTCAACAGCCTGCCAGAGGGTCGTTCTGTAGCTTTAGATACTGTATGTCATGCATGGAAGGAGGCTAAATTACCTAAAGTTTGGTATGGGGAAAAAATGGCATGGTGGTTTTCTGCAGTGCTATTCAGTATGTTTCTTTACATAATCTGATCAGACTAAAACACATTACATTCACAGTTAGTTACACTTTGAGAAATCAATCAACCCAGTACTTTATTACTTACTTTTACTTGATTTTGTTTTGTTTGACTTGAGTATTCTTCTTATGAAGTTTACACCACTGCTACCTCTCTTATCCTTATACGGTGTTAAATTAAATTATTTGAATGTCTGAATCTGCTAATAAGGACAGTATACCTGTTTCGAGGCTAAAAAAGGATAAGAAGGTAATCAATAATATACTGTTGTGTGCAGGAGTTACCTTATGCACCTACCCTCGCACCTACCGGATGTATGTATAATAATTGTTTCTTCAACATCTGTCAATATATAAATATGAGCAATTCTTCACTTCCCATATGCTAATGTAACATACATAAACTTAATATGACTCGCACTCAAAGCCACACCAGATATATTTTTACATCATGAAAAAGTGTCAACAAGACTAGCGTATGTGCAAAATAAGACCATTCATTTGGCCATTTTAGAAAGAGAGTTAGCAGACACAAGACACCAACCTGCAATGAAGCGTGGATGTGTAACCCAATGTGCCGGGTAGTCAGCGTAATGGCTCAGGTACCTGATCTGCATGTATCCATTATACATGCAGAATATAATGGCCAGCACAAATGAGTCCAGTGGGGTTGGTTTACCTCCTCGGATTAAAAATGGATAAATGAGGGATCTGTAGCAGAAATAAAACAACAAGTTATTTCAAGTGTTTGCTTTGACATCTTGGATCAGTCAACTAGTACAACTAAGCTAATATAACTAAATAATAACATGGCAAATGTTTCTGTATATTTTGCACATTTCCACACAATGCTTCTTAAACTCTTCAAATATTTTAAATGTTGATATACTGCACATATTTAATTATTTTGTTTAACTTTCAGATTTGCTTGTAAACATCCTTTTAAATTAATGAGTTTTAAGTTAAAATAATTCTATATTTGCTTCTTTTTTTAAATGTAATTCCTTCTGGATAAATATTCCTATAAATATGTATCCACCCTTATACATCAAAGCAAATTCCTTGTATGTATAAACCTACTTGGACATAAAACTGATACTGAACATTTTTTGTGTACATTATTGAGTTATCTTATTATGCATAAATATAGATTGTTATTTGATGGAAATAGTAAGAGCCCTACATGTACACACTTTGGGAGCCATTTAATACATTATTTGTGCTGGTAATTGGCAAGCATGTTAGTTGCTCCAGATGTAATTGACTGTAATGATGACCTACCTTTGAATATAGTGGCAGAAATACATTGCAATGACCAGCTGGTTGGGCAGTAGTGACGTTTTTGCCGAGGATGTCCAAAATACCAGACAGAAAGGCACCAGGATGGCAGGCATCTCCTGCACGAACCAAGCAATCCGGGCATCAACTCGAAACCTACCGTTGATGGGAGCGTATCGTCCGTACGGGACATCCTGGAAAAGCAAAGCAACGAAAGTGCAGGCTGCCATGAAAATCATAAAGTAACCCAGACAGTCCAACACGTACAACTCCTCTTCTTCCGAGGAGAAGAGCCTGGATAGGATTGCGTCCATCACGGCAAAATGTTCCAAAACTAACAATAAAGGTGGCTAAAATGTGATTTAATTAAACGCTGTTTCACCGAGTTATGTCATGGATGTGCCCGGATGTACACACCACACGCATAGACGCATATGCGCAGTAGGGTTGTTTAACTGGAGTAAGGACCAATCACAGCCACTGACAAGGCTTGGCGTTCGATCCTTTCAGCCAATCAAAACGCGCTATTGCAACACGTAATTCAAAATGGGTCTTACGTCACTAATAAATAGTATCCATTCATTCATTTGCATTTTTCCCCTGCTGCGGACAATTATGTTATTACGTGTTGGTTCTGTCATTCATTTATACTGTATATGTATGTGTTTCTCCCATAGACTGTATATATAAATCGACGTAGGGTCCGTGCCCTTAGTAGGCGGAGTCGGCCACTAACGGCTCGACAGTGACGTCAGAGTCTAACTCCCGCCTGCTCCAAATAAGGGCAAAGAGGCGGAGCCGAAGCGGGACCTGCTGCCTCCAGCTGGGAAGTAACAGAGCTAGCTCAAGCTAAGAAGCTAAGCTAACATGCTCCCCATCTGCACACTGCCGTCACATTTTACGTTTCTAAGGTAAGCGGACATGAAACTATTCAGCAAAACTATAAATAATAATCTAAGTTATTGAGTTTTTAGCATAATACTTCAGAATCTTAAAATCCCTTAACGTTTGTATGCAATGTGCTAAATGCAACACTGGAATCAAGCAAATTAATATGTTTGCATGACATTAGTTATTTATATTTTGCTATCACTTAATTATACGTTTAATACATTTAAGTCAAGCTAAGGTACAGTACATGTGATGGTAGCTAGTTAGTGCTCTTACCTGTGAGGCCTCCTCCAAACAGCATTATAACCAGACTGTATCATTAAAACTATAAGTACCAGTTCTAGATCCTTGACTTTAGACAAACAATTCAAAAGACAAAATGTGTTTAAAGACCAATCTTTATTTGAAGGTGCCTCTTAACCTGAGATATTAGTTATACAGTAATAGTATTGACAATCTAAAAAAACTGAGCAACTCAACAGTCAACTTTATATTTCTTATTGTCTAAAGCATTTATTATTTTCATTTTCCCCTCATATTCAGTGTGGACGGATTGAGACAGCGTGGTGTCCAGAGAGCTGCAGAGACTTCAGGGAGAAACCTCCGTGTGATGGACGTCCAGTCTGTTGGTTTGGAGAGGACTGAGGGTCTTTCCTCTGCGAGGAGGACCAGGCCTGATGGAGGAGCCCATGCTGGGCATAGCTGATACCACCTGATCAGGCCTCGTCTGTCACTTTATTTGACTAAATGTGTTTACTTATACATTTAATAGGTTTACACCTTCTGTCCATATGTGCTTTTTTATTTAAAACATGTTTGATTAACTTTTGGTTCACATTTCAATAAATTGAATTTGTATTTGCACTCCTTTTGTCCATTATTCTTACTGAAAATGTTAGATTACACATTCACATCTGACTGAAGATTGGCCCCATTTATTTGTGACGTTGCAAACTCTGCGGTACAAGGTACAGGTGTTGTGAAGCTCATAAAGTGAGGCAAATAGAATTTATCAGCTGATGGAGTGTAGAGGTGGAAATAGGTGCATTCGATCAGCTGACTTCACAATAAAAGTAGTTTCTTAGTGAATGTCCTGTACTGGTCTTAAAATCTCATAACATCAGCTTTTAATTTTCCTCTTGGATGTTCTTCTTGACCCTCAGAGAAGGAGAAAATGTTGAGTCGTGTCTTTCAGGCATGTCCTTTCCTAACAAAAATTACAGGAAACATAAAACATATTATTGCAGAACAAGTGTGTTATTTATGAAAGAGGTGTGCTTGTGTTTAAGGGCTGTAGATATAATTCTTTTGTAATTGTAATGTTTTATTTTATTTCAACAGTGAGCTACAAAGAAAATCAGATTATGAATGAACAGTATGACATTCATCAACATTGAAATATATTTTATTATCAAAATAATATTTAACTGTTATCAAAACTTAGTGCAACTGTAGAAGCTTGCTCTGTTCTCTCACTGAAATCATAACTTTTACCACGTTTTTTACAGACAATATTGAGAGATAAATAGTAGCAGTTCTCACTAATAGCTTTGCCTTCAATACCTTAAATTAGAAAGCTGACAAAGTAATATTGCTTGTTAACATGTAACCCTTTGCATGGAAAAAACCCTCAACTTCACTGATGTGTAGGTGATCTAGTATTTAGTATTGTTTAATGGAATGTATATCAGTGTATTAAAGTCAATACTTTTTAAACCAATATCTTTCTTGATTCTTTGTACAGTATGAAAAAAGAGTATTTGTACCTGTGCTGAAGTTCACTGCTGTGAGGAGTCCAGTTCTGTCTCTCACTCTCTGGTCCAGCCTGTCTGCATCACCTGGAAACTTTAAACAAACAGATATATATGTAAAGAACCATGTGTACAAACAATATAACTTATTCTCTTCTGTTGAACATGTTGGATTGTGTATTGCCCGAGTCAGGGTCCTTTTATTTTACTGTAACTTTGGAAGTTGTGTTACCAATGCTTACTGTTTATTTGATACCAATTTGGTAATGCAATTAATAAAAACAACAAGGTTTGGGTTCGTTCTTCAGATGACTGTGACGTTAACGTGTAAGCTCAATAATGAACTCCAGCTCAACCAACCATATTGTAATATCTAAGTAATCATCTTGAAATATGACATTAATAATTGTAATATACACACATCTTATTGTGAGGTTGATTTCACATACACTACTTCGACGTTTGCTTGTCTATATACTTGAGCATAGCCAATTTAAATTAACCTTAGCGATGCATACAGTTCCTACCTACATAATAAAATATCTCTCTAAGTTACAAGGATGACCTTATTTTATCAACTTCAAACAGAAGCCTTTTGTTCTACAGTACTATCTCACTTAACGCTTAACACTTGTCTATTTCATGTTAACCTTTATATATACAGTCTATGGTTTTAAGTTAACTTGGAGGATACGATTACCATCGTTAGCACCGATGTAGCTACCACTTACACGCTAACCCAAGCCTTAACATTCATTACGTAGCTGATTAAAATCATAAACACATAAATAAAGTACTCGAATTTCACTTACCGCAAAACGGCATTCATGCACCGTCTGTTTTAACCGCAGAGCGAGTCACAATAGTCCGATATATAAGCATGAAGAACAAACAAACACGGCCGGGGTCAAGTTGTGTTCCCTGGATGAACTGAGCAGGCAGAGAGTCCCTGTAGCTTCACGGAGACGGAGCATCTAGCAGAGAGACAAGAAGCTAACAGCAACAGTCACTTGACAGAGCTGTCACTCAATGTGACCACGCCCTAATTTATGCAAAAACTTTAAGACCTAATATAAATAAAAGGGTCATGTTAGAAAACAATTCACTCACAGATCCATAATCATGAAGGTGGAATCTAACTATATCTATAATAATATTTATTGGATCCATGGGTAGAAACATGTTTTTTTAGGCTGTAAAATTGGGCATTTTAACATGGGGGTCTATGGAAATTGCTCTTTTCTGCAGTCAGCGCCTATCGGCCAATATATGCACTGCAGTTTGTGGCACTTCCGTATTGGCGTTCCGGCTCTTCCCCAGAGTTTGCCGCTTGGTTTCTCCAGATTTAACATCAGCATAGCAGAAGGACTGAGGTATAATTTGTCATCAAGTGTATTTCATTCCTATTTTCATTACTTTATTGTTTTAGTTTTCATATTAAATATCTTTATTTTATTTTTTTCAAGTTATTTTTTATGATTGTATTATCTATTATATTATTATTTTATTTATTTTATTAATTATCATTTGATTTTATTTGATTATTTTAATTCTTATAATTATAATTGAATTTTGTTCACGTCCCCCAGAGGTGCTGGGGGCGTCTCCCTACTGTTAATATTTTTTGAATTATTATTTTATTGTTTTTGTATATATTTCATTTTATTATTTATTTATTGTATTTTTTTTCCTAATTGTTTTATTATAATAATTTTAAATGTATTTATATTATTTTATTTTATACTATTTTTTCTTTCTTTTTTTCTTATACGTTTTTTTCTTATTTTCTTATTATTGTTTTTCCTTATTATTTATTTAAATATTATTAATATTTTATCGATATTAATCATTTATATACATTTGAAACATATGGCCGGATTTGGACCCACATTGTGGTCTGCCTGCTCTAACCACTGAGCCATACAATTGTCTGCTAGTTAGATCTGTATTTACTGAATATTTCAGAGGTGGTGATGCATCATTCGCAGGTTTATTATGACTACCATTATTTTACCCAGGCAGACCCACACCCACAAGTCTTTCATTGATTTTTAAATGTTTTATTTGTATTTTTTTCTTATTTATTTTTAATATTATAATAAAAAAATAGTATTATTATTATTGTATTTTTTTCCCTTATTATTATTTGACTTTTTTAGTATTTATTTAAATTATTATTCTTTGTTATTTATTTATTTATTACATTTGTTATCATACTTTATTGTGTGTCTTTACTATTATGTTTGCAAATGACGCCTATGCCTGTATGGTATTTGAGCATGTGGACACTTGTTTTAAAAGTACTCTTGTATTTAAGTTTATATTTCTCTAGCTAGAATAACACTTGAAGAATTAAAGAAACAATTAAGTATTTTTTAAGTACATACATTGTATATTGGATATTATTTCGTAATAAAAACTAAATACAAAATCATGAAATGCCCAAAACTGCCTGAAGATGTTTTACTTTATTTCAGGCAGATATGTGGCCACCTAGAGGGGTCCTCATTCACGTGCGTCACAGGAACACGTTTTGAGAATACACAGCGTAGCAGCAGTTCTTGTTCAAACTCTCAGTGTATACATTTTATCCGAGTTGTTAAAACTCCTCTTTATCCAGCTAACACGTCGTTTTGCAGACTATTCTCCAGAGTTGTGTGCTATTCCAACATGGGGAAACGAAGCAGGCAGAGGCAGAAAACCCAAAATACTGGCAGAGACGACAGAGACAACAGAGACAACGCTGTAAGACTCACTCTTCTACTGCTGCTGCATAACCTGC